AACCGGTGACATAATAATGCTTCCAAATAAAACATTTTATGAGCAAAAACATTCAGAAGTGCAAACTGAATTTGGATGAGTTTTAAAATGGTTAATTTTCTGAAAGATGTGAAATGTCAAACAATTGATAACTCGTGCACAGCGGGGGTAGCATGGATTCGTTCTCAAGCTACTTTGTTTTTGAAACACGAACCGTTTTTATGAAAGACGGTGCTGAAAGCAGATGTCTGGAGGATGAATGATGCATGTGCTGCAAAAGCTACTTGTATACGCTACCTGTGGCTTCTTTGTCTGGCCAGTTGTGATCGCTATTCTGTAGAGCTGCTAGACTCACGGCATAACACGCACGAGCGATAACTAAAGTAAACAACTTCGAAGAGTTTTTTCAGATTACCATCCTCGCTGAAATCGCCACCGATATGTAGTGGTTTACGGAGGAAGGGACATGTGTAGGGTATAGAATAATGCATCCAACCCCAACGGCTTCCTGCAAAAAATATCTGGATGCCTTTTTCCCTTAGCACCAGTCTTAAATTCTTAACTGCACTGTTTAAAAACAACTTGGGTTTTCCTGTTACTTCCTGTTTCTTCAGTTTTACTAATAAGGTTGTACCTTGGTGAATAAGCACTCGTAGAATTATGTTACAAGCCTCACACAGGAAACAAAATCCTTCGCATTCGCTGAACCGTATGAAAAAATATTCGAGTTAAATTTACAAGTTCTTGCAACGAAACCATCTAAGAGTTGATCAAGTTTGGTCAATCGTAAGGGCTAAAACTCTACAAGGTAATGTCATTCGATCGTCGTCTAAGTCGTTAAGCGTCCTGGAAAATTAGAACCGCTATTTCGCAACTTCAGAGGATATTCGCTACCACAAAGGTTGGAACTGACTATTCAGATTTAAAATTGAAACAAAAACAACTCAAAAAGATCGGTCACTGTAGCTAAATGGTTGTTGTTAAAGGAGCTTGCTGAGTAATTTGGTTCTATTTCCACACGAACATAGTAGGAAGTTTGTCAGTATAAATTTTGCTTTTTACTATTAAACACAAGATTACCAATTACTGATTCCCTTCAGGCATCTGCACTCCTTGAAATTAGTTCACGTAAAATAAGCAACCACGTGATGGCACACTTTACCTTCTGTGAACGTGGTCGTTCCTGAAACTAAAAATTCTCTCAACTTGGTAAAAAACTTTTTCCTCTACTATTAGCATCCATTAGCTTGTGCAAAATGCATCCTCTCGTACGAAGTAAGCTATCAAATCTCTTCAAAGCAGAGTGTCCAGCTTCTAAGTCCAACGATGAAGGTGGTCAATCAGATGGCTTGACTTAACTGGTGTATATCTCACAAAATTTTCTCATATATTTGCACACGCAGTCGAGGTGAACTGTGGTGAGGTGCCATCCAGTTGCATTGTCGAACAGATTAAACCACTCCAACTATGAAAGTAACTTGCGTGTGCTCGAATACTTCAGAGGGGTGTTAATGTTTAAGACACAAAAAAAGAAAAATAGAATGACGCAGACATTCTGACAAAAAGTTCGGAATGTCTTGTGAAGGCAATGCGACTAAGCTGTAATAAAGCGTGCACATCTATTCCACTCTTGGAAGGGTTTTGGTTGAATTTGGCAGGAACATCAATCTCGGATGGTTGACGGCGATCACAAATGATACAAAAGCAAGCCCTTAGCCTTGTGGCATTTGATTACACATGGCGGCTTCAGCAAAGCATCAAAAGAAAACGAACTAATTGCGTACCAAAGAAAACCAGCATTTTTTCTCATTTTTATTCAGTATCGATTCTTTATTTCATGCAAACAAACAAAAGCCTGCAAACACTTGTAACACTATCTAATTTCAAGGCAACTTTTTGGTCTTGTTACATTAACACATTAGCCAATATAACAGATCGATGATGTTTTTTGATTGAAAACAATTAAGAGGTTCAACACAATTTTATTGTATCCATCTGTTGAACTGGTAAGATTTGACCAGCTGGCTTGCATTCGGAGTCGGTGTTCTGATTGACTGACTGCTTACGATAACGTCAGTGTTTTTCACAGGCTTGGCTAGATGAAACATGGCATTTTCTGGTGTTTTTGGACTGTGCTTTTGCGTGTACGGATTACAAAATTCACTGGCTAATAAAAAATAATATGCCTACTGATATTTTCATACATCGTAAGTAGAATCCGACCGAAGGCTGCTATACAAACCGAGTCTAACCTCAAGAAGTAAAACAATTAAGAATAACCTGAGGTTGAACGTTGCTGGAAAATCTGAACCATGTTCACGAGGCCATCGATAGAGGGATTTGTGAAGTTGCTTGGAACATCCAAACTTTACTCTGGAAACAAGTTTTATAGCCGAAACTACCCCACATTGTAAGAGGAAGTTGCAGGATATTAATACGTCTAGTGCACAATAGCCGTCTTAGCCGTAAAGTCACTTCATAATATAAGAAAACGTATCAACAATATAAAATAGGACTTTGCTTTCCGAAAAGTGTTCTGAACAAATAATTGAGGTTAGATTACACAAATATCCAGTTAAGTGGCACATTTCAAGTGGCATGAAAATGGGTAAACATTCTCATTCCTAGGACCGCAGTAGTTCAAGTCCGTTGGTGCATTTGGTGGAATGTAAACCTGCCATCATTCTCACGAAAGACCTTGGTCAGGTAAGGACGTTCCTTGAGAGGAAACACTGCCTATTTTTCGATTTTCTGTTCATTCTATGGTCAGAAGAATTCATTTTACTTATATTTGCGCGATTTTACTTCTGTTTATGCTTTTGTACCAGTAACTTTATTACCACAGATTTTAGAGCACTTATTTTTTCGTATTTCTATTTTTTTCACGGTTCCCTTCAATAGTATCAGCCATTAGGTATCTCTTCCTGGCTAATACCTAACTAATCACTGTTTGCGCGTCAGCTGATAAACAACATAGATTTCTTAGTTTTGTCTGTCATTTTAACGACAGTCATTTAAAGCTGGACATAGAAATTTTTACAAGTGTAGCTTACGATTCAGTTGTGAGAACTTGCGAGGTAGGAAGATACAGTCAAAACGTCAGTTGGCAACTTCTAAAGGGTAGTTTAGCACAGTGTTGCCTAATGTCTCAAAACGCTTGTATCATGAGCTCTAACTCACATGTCTACCACAAATAAGTATTCTATTAAACCAGTCAATTTCAACCTCAAAAGGTTTTACACAGTGCAGACGGAACAATAAAGCTATGTAAAAACGTTTAAGTATTCTTTATATGTACGTGTTAAGACGGTTTGAATTCCGGCCGTTAACCATCTCTGAAACGCTACTCATGCCAAATTAATCCAAAAAAGCCTAAAGAATTTTAGCAACCGATTCCTTTGGAGAATATTTATTTGGATTTGGTTACGGTAGTGCTCAGAACCACTTAAGTCTGTCTGAATTTGGTCCCTTTAACGTCTTCCAGATAGTATGGTTAATCCACAGATATGTAGCGGTCTAGAGCTAAGAAACTCAGACTATTTCGACTGGAAAAAGCGTTTTATACACATTAGTAAACTGGCATACACATTAGTCTGTTGCACTTGAACGTTGCCGGGTATTCACACTGAAAAGCCATTTAGAACTGTCAGGCAAAGTTAAGGCAATCCTAGTCTTGAAACAGAAACCACTTGTTCTTCCAAAATGCATTTATGGCGTGGAAGTTTCCAAGTAAAAACTTAAAAGATAGGTACCCTATCGCACTGCATCTAAAATTTACCCTCTGTCCATTTTTAGGAGTAAAGCACGGCCAGCGTACTGAGAGATAACTGCATTCTTTTCCATTGTGCGACATTGTTGTGTCTGCTGGGAGAACTGAAACTAAAGCACAGTCGTATAATACATTTTCTTCTCAATGGAGAGTTTGCTTTTCTGGATTTTTTTTGAATAACAGCGTTGCAAATCTGGTCTGTTTTAAAACGAAATACGGTTTTCAAGAACAAAACACATTCCTGGGACGTGCAAACGAGTCCTGTGGTGTCGGCGTTTGTCAGTCTGTCTCATTTAACCAGAATCATTACGTTATGTGTCATTCAATATTAACATAATGCACCCTACAAAAAAATTCGAATCTTCTTTCTACACACCGGCCGAAACAAATAACCTTAGGATGTTTGTGTATGTTCGCATCATAACAAGGCCTTCCTACCAAATGCTCTGTTTGCCAAAAACTACAGCCTAACTGTAGCTCGGAGGTCTGAAAAAATGTATTAGAATTGGAAATAGACAAATAGACAGTAATTAACTGACTACTATTAACAAGCGCGGTGTGACTGACTCACAGTATAGTGGTCACGGAAATCAAACATTTGTTAGTTTTCCAATAAATTATGGGCTGCCTTCATTGTCTGCTGCATGGTTGAATAACAGGAAAGTGGAAACTGCAGAAAAACTCCATTATTTCTGTAACACCAAAGCCCAAAAAGAGTAGTAGTTCTGTCTTTATCAAAGGTATTCTTAAGGTGATTGGAAATAAATGTGCAGCAAAATCAAGTGAATATTTAAAGCGCACTTTTTTTAGCTACTATTTTTGCAAAGTACCAGCAACGTGTTGAACTCTCAGTAGCCCGAGCACTTTCATTCAGTACCGACCGGGTGGCTGTTGATCCGTCCGTCTAGTTGGAAAATTTACTTGAAAACATTTTGCCAGCAGACATCACCGGGCAAATCATACCCAACTGTGCACTGACAATTTTTTCCTCATTTGATGACAAAATATTTGCAAACTGATTGCCAAGCTTGACAGTCAGACCGATTGCCGCCTGATTAGCGGGCAATATCTACAACGGGTCAACTGCGTTTAGCCGTTGGTCTGTTTCGAAGTAATTCAGTACGTTTTTGTCGGGACTTTAAGAGAGGTGACATAATCATGTATGGGCGAAAATTGTTTTTAAAAAAATAATTTAGCTGCTCTTACAGCTCATGATTGATTTCATCACACACGCAACAAGTAAAGAACCTACATGATAAATCAGTTAAGCTTTCCCCAATATTTGTTTTATTTGTTTATTCTCACAAACTTCCTAATTTTTTCTCCACCTGCGCTTTATGAAGCAATAACTGATTGCAAACTATGGGCAATTGACCGGCAGTGTTTTCAGTCGGTCATGATGCAAACGGGATTGAGGAGACAAAATGATTACGTGCGATTCTTGAAAAGGTATGCATACATTTTACTATCTTTCACTCTTTATTTTACAATTTTTTCAGTTAAGTCTACAAAAGCTCGTTATAACATTGTTTGGCGCGACACCAATGTTTATGCGCATTGCAGTGTACTGTGCGGTAGTAGCACAACGGTAAGCGACCGATTAAAACCAATCGAATGAGAGTGGATATAATTCAGAGTCCACGGAATCGCTTTACGACATTTTGACCGAAAAACTGGTGACTCTGGTCACAATAAAACCAATACGGATCATGAAGGCAGTAGGCTGCACTTATCGCCAAAGTTTAAGTACACTATTAATACACATGACAGTAGAAAAGCTGGTGATGTATTCGCGAGCAGCATAGCGTAAGCCCTTGAGTTGTGAACGAGTCTCAACTTGAGGATTGCGCAAGTACCGTGTGCTGAAGCTAACCTAATTCATCAGGATATACGGTGCACGGAATAGTTGGTATTATAAAGTTCACTCTCCTTGTTATAACCGACATCCCATAACATGTAGAATGGTGATTCAACCAGTTTACGTTCGCGAGTAAACATTGCCCACCAACAAAAGCAAAAATACTGATGGATGTACGTTGTTTTATGGGGCAGTGCGTGTACTATCCAGCATTCTTTATTAAGTGATTCGTGAACTGTATAGCTTACTAAAATCTCACTCTGGACAAAATGGTTTGAGGGAAGTAAACAGAAAATGCCGAGGTGTCTGTTAAATTTAATGCTGTTAAAATCCTCGTCTTCGCGTAAGGTGGTTTGTCACGTACGTTACCACCATTATAAAAAATTCTATACTTTTCATACCACATTCCACGGTCAACGACCACGCGCTTCCAACCTCAAAGCAATTCCACTGAAAGCTCATTATTAGTGTCATCTAGACTAGTGCTAAGATGCTTGCAGACAAACTGTCCAGTTCAACTGAAAACCAACGGGTACTGTGAATTGATGTCCAAAATGCTAAGAGAGGACATTGCCGACAACACATTTTGTCCGTTTTGGTTTTCTTTTTAAATTTATGAAGGTAAATTTTATTCTGGATGAACCGCTAGGCGAACCGTAAGCGGAATCACTCAGTTCGACAACGAAACACTTCTCCAGTTAGCTTTGTGACGTCATACGTTTGCTGTCTTCCCTGTATTCTGCTTCCATTGAGGGTGTGTCGTATTCTCCAATGGCAATCAGAGCTGTCCTTTGTCTCGTCATCCTTTCGTTGACTAAATTTTTCAGTATCAGTATATTCGTACAAACAAAAAAAGGATGCGCATTATCATCATTGAGTTCTACTTATTTAATTAATTATCGGGCGAGTAATTAATTAAATGTCACGGATCTTGGCGAAACCAGCCCAATAGAGTGCCGGTCGTTTTGTGGGGATGGAACTGCTGAAAAGGAAGTTTTGTTTTCTCAGGAAAAATTCTGTCAGCACGTTTAGCGATTTTAAGGTGTGGCAGGAAGATTTTTATGGTCTCTTACATTTTTCTGAGTAGCTTTGTGAGTGTCCTTGTGAAGACGAACTGGGAAAACTTCGGGTGCTATATAAGTAGTCAATCTATTGTGTATATTTATGTCCTTAGTTTATTCCGCATGACTCTCAAATTTACTTGCAATACCTCGTAAAACCATTTTGCTGGTTAATTAAATAGCTTATAATGTAAGAATCGGTTTGTGAACAAATACGATGGCACTAAACAAGAGTTACTCTATTCAGGCTGGACCACAATGAAGTGACCATTAGCAAGCAGCACTTTTTTACTTCAAATTAATGGTCTAGACGTCACTTTAGCGAAATGAACCAAAATAAAAATAAAACACGCAGATTTTCTCCTGTGGCTGCATAATCTGTGCTAGTTTCCGGGCTTATCTCGTCAAGGGAATAATCCCTCAAAACTGGTCAGGATAGTTTTTTGTGAATTCTCCTCGACGTCATATTACCCTGGAAAACTGTCTGGTCGGTGATAAACGAACATGGCAGTAAAATGTATCGTACCGCTGCGGCTCGTATAGTTTTTCCATGATCCCCTGTTTGCTCATCAAGATAAGTAGTTTAGTATTTGCATCTGGCCTATTTCCAGCGGAACGTGAACAACTTCAAAAGGTAGACGAGGCATGTCTCACACAACATTGCTGGTAATTTAACTGACTCCGTAATCAGACGCTTCCATTATAATATTTTCATTCACAGTCCCCAGGCCGCTAAACTATGCGCCTCTAAGGAATTGTCCACTTCAATACAGATGTCATTATTTCATATTCTCAGTCAGATGTCCAAAATACATTTACTAATGAGTAAATTCGAAGGATAATGAGATTCAAATTAGACAGTCTTGATACTTTTTTCATGGGTATTTTTGTGAGAAGCACATGCACAGAAATTACTTCCAACCCAGCGGATTCTATATTCGTCTTCCAAAAACTAGCATTATCTGTGTGCGTTGAACTTTAAGGCAAAGTAGTTTTCATTTTCCCAGAAAACGTTGGCTGCCCAAATGGAACATTCAGCTAATATACCATACCGTGGAAACAAACGCTGTGCGTGGTGCTTTCTATATTTATGCTAGACGGCACACTTTTCAGTTAGAGCACATACATATTAACGGATGACAGCTACAAAAAGAGTTCATTTCAAAGGAGCTATATTTAGGAAATACATTTCCTTCGTGGCAGATATGAATTCAAATCATAATCGGAAAGTCAACAACAATTTAGGTTGATCTGTTGTCTGTTTATCACGACCTTTTTGTGAGTTAAAAAGTCGAAAACATTATGAGGTCGTTTCATTTACCTTCATGAGCATACAGTCCTCGAAATCCACGTCTGTTTCAGCTCTTTTGAGCAAAGCGACAGAACAGGATACCGTGCCACTCTTCCTTCGTCTCATTTAGATTTCGCTATCATTTGCAGTGTTGGCTACTCAGAGGCTGGCACAACCATCAGATTTCTTCCTAAAGACAACTGCCAAAAATAAAAAAATTAAAGGCTGTTTTACTGAGTTACATGTTTGTCAAACACGGCACCAAACTTTTTAACAATTATATTGTCAGTGGTTAAAGGTGAGTAACTTTTAGTCGGGAGATGATGGTATACATCAAAGAGCGGTCCTAGGACTTGCCTGAAATTTACCCGGATTAAGTGACGTGAACCCTCAAGCAATGAAACACTGGTGCGATTAAATCAGCGATTTAGTCTATGAAGCAACCCCAACAAAGGAAAGATTGGAAAGTATGTTCGCCTTTATACTTCAACGCATTTCCCCCCCCCCCAACTACCGAACCCTGTCAACCAAGGGTAGTATTCGGCGTTCATTTGTTATAGTAGTAGGCTGCACAGGATCTGGTTGGCTCATCATTTCCACGAGAAGGTACAAATGCCATGACGTAAGCCACTGCTCTGCCCAATCTATTCGTGTGACCATCGCTACGTATGTTCCACTGTGATGTTCGCCTTATACTTCAACGCATTTCCCCCCCCCCCAACTACCGAACCCTGTCAACCAAGGGTAGTATTCGGCGTTCATTTGTTATAGTAGTAGGCTGCACAGGATCTGGTTGGCTCATCATTTCCACGAGAAGGTACAAATGCCATGACGTAAGCCACTGCTCTGCCCAATCTATTCGTGTGACCATCGCTACGTATGTTCCACTGTGATATTCCAGTGTCTGGTTACAGAATATAAATAAATTACATAACTAAAATAAAGGGACTAAAACTTTCTTTTTGTGTATAATGCTCGTATATCTCGTTATCAGATGTAGGATTGCTTTGACCACTGGTAATGACAGAGCTTAGTTGCTGGCACCAAGTGGTAGTTGATTTAGCCCGAGACTGGCAGAAGACAGGACGAGACCGTTTCAACCCAAAAGGATCCACTGTCTTCGCGTGGCTTATAGCTGGCGCCACCGTTTCCTAAAAAGTCTAATGAGCCGTAACCCTGCTGTGTTAAGTATGGTGGACTAGCACTTACTTTTGTAGCTTGCGTAAATAAAACAATTAGTATAGCAAAACGTAAAGGAGTTTGGAAATTTCGGCTCCTGCGAACGTCGGACTCAGAAATGCTTGCTACTGCCAGATGTTGCGGAGATTGGAAAGAAGGATACGATGAAGAATCGACGAAGCAAAGATTCACGTTTGGCACGTTATCAGACGCTGTGTTCTGTTCTTCCTCTTGTAAATGTTTAAATGAACATCTTTTATTTTTTAATTCACTCAAATGATAAACATCTGCGGAAGCCAAAACTGCTCTGCTCGTTGTCTTAAAAATCGAACACAGAATCACCGGTTTATAGCGCTCTAGCGCCAAGCAACAATATATTTACACGTTCATTGACGTTTTCAGGGTGACTTTGTAATTTTATGAAACTGACTTCCCATCCTTTTTTGTTTTTACGTAACCAGGTGGTGTGTTTCTAAACTTGTAATTAATTTGGGATGTTACTAATCAACTTCTTTTTTTAAAGTCGCCCAGTGTGTACCAGTAGATTTGAACGTATTCTATAGAACATGAATGACATCACAAGAATGCAACTAGATGAAATCTCAGGAAGCATTTGAACTATTAATCATTGGACGCATTTGAACACACATGTTCACTCCACATGCAAATATGGACGATGACGTTGATTCTATCGTTCAATAATTTTAGAATCCGTTCGCGTTTTCATGATCGCTTACCTTTCAGATTACATTTCCATATTTGGGCTTTCTTAGCTGGTAGCTTTACATGCAAAACCTTAGTTTCTTTCCATAGTTTTTCGCTGAGAGTCTTGTCACTAAGGAAAGACATTTCCATTCACTTTTACACATTTGTATGAATAACTCGAGTACAGAAATTAATTTACAATATCAAGAAGCCAACAAGCACTTTTCGGTAAAGCACTCACTTTCCCCACATTATCCAGTGAACTATGCCGATTGAAGTGGGTATCGAACTGTGAATATCCTCTCACATTCAAATTTTCAGCGTTCCCACATTTAGTGAACTCAGCGTGGAAATATTAATCAAAGTCGCTGATGTTCTTGGCGTATGCCATTACAATCCCGGAGACTACGTGATACGAGAAGGTGCACGCGGTGATACATTCTTCATCGTCTCTGATGGTAAGGTAAGTAGCGAAATAAAAAATTTCTCCGTAAAACACTAGTTTCAAGCATCGACAACATGGTGAGAAGTAAACCTTTACCGGTGCAGTGCTTTGAGCCCACAGTAATGTTCTGCTGAGTTGCACACTCTTCAGCCTAATACATCCTCAGTTCTTTGAATGTTGACTTGAAGTGCAATTTGGGTCCTAGTTAGTGGCTTAAGGAGGCTGGCATCAGAGTCATGTTTATAATTGTACGTGGTTAACGGATTGATTTATGGGCTCACAAAATACAGCGCGGAAAGATTACACCAGTCCCATTACAATGGCTTGAAAGTCAGAAATTTCCTCTTATTCATCACTGGCATTTTTTGCCTCGCGGTTCTTCCTAAATTTTAGTAGAGCACGATAACTTGGCAGCGGGTTGTCAGTCTCCAGACAACACATAGATAATGTACTAATAGCCAGGTTGCTAAATTTTTTTACCACTGTACTAACTAGCGATGTGACAAAAAAATACATTACTCGTGACTGCGAGCAGAAAAAGATTCGTTTCTCTGCGTCTAAGTAAAAACACAGTGTGCCTCAAACAGCATCAAACTTAAACATAAAATGAGATAATCGAATGATTGGTTCAATTTTTATGCAATCATAAGGATCGTTTTTTTCTTCCTAACCTGTCGACTTATTTATTGTCAGAATGACGAAAAACCCTCTTTGTCCTAATTGCTATAACGCGCTTTCCATAACCTAACTAAAGGATTATTCAGGGAAGTGATGCTGATTGTTCCAGATGAGTGATCCAAAACCTTCATCAGCACGAAAAAGTTTGCCTAGCTAGCACAGTATCCACGGAAAACGCCATCCACAAGTGTCAGCCACATGATAAACTTGCACGTGCTTTCGAAACCACTTCCCAGGTCTGAAGCGCGCTGTTCGATTATCCAAAAATCGGATTCCTTGACCAGTATGATCACCATCGCTATCAGTAGCATAACATCAGTATCTGATTTTTTGCTACTGTGCAATCATGATTTATTGGAGAGTCCCATTGTGTAAGAAGACGTGAACGAAGGAAGGACTTAATGCTAGCCTACCACAGTCATTCCGTGGTGTCTACCCCTCTAAACACTCATTCAAGAAATCCGGAGAGAAACTAACAACAACAACACCACTAACACCGATCGGCAACCATACCTTGCAGCGTCTCCACCCAGGCAACGCGATCCATATCCTGGGAGGCGAGCAGGACCGACAGCACCCAAACGTTTCGTTATCTCTTTCATACCCATCTATCAGGTCAAAGGTTAGAAACCTCTCTGCTTCTAACACCGAACCGATCAGGAAAAACAGCACTCTTTAACAAACGATGGTCCGTTATATGCAATGCATGGCCTGACCAACACAGCTGGATACGTTCTTAAATGCCGTTGCACTACCGAAAACTTGTTTTCTAACTGCTTCACCACGGATTCGCTGACACCAACCCAGACGAGTCATAGTCTAGGATTGAAGCTCTCAAACATCCGAAAACATTTCACCCACTGCTCGAATTGGCCCAGTCTCACAGGAATGCAATAAAACACCTTTACTGTAGCCTGGCAAATACGTCCTTTGAGATACAGGAATACATCGCTTTAACCCAATAGGTCACTCAAGCTAGCAAACGCGATCCGAGGCTCGCGAATTCGTGCATTGATGTCGTTCGTCACGCTACCATCATAATTACTACGTAAAACGCTTCATAACTGAGACTACTAATTTATAGATTTACGTATGTTCCATGCACATACATTACTGATTTTACTCAATTATAGTAGCATTCATCACAGTACCACACCTTACAGAAGCCAAGCAATGATCATATACATAGAACAAACATTGATATAAATTTTCATACATGTGAGCCTTACTTCACAGACATATATACACGCGTAGACCAAATCAGGTGAAGAGCTTCAGTAGTATGCAGATCGCCAGCGTCATAAAGAACTCTTCAGTGTAATGAAGTGAATCTACGGTCCGAAAGTCCTGGATACCCACCTAAGAAGCAGCAAACAAAAACTGGTCACAAACTTCGCAAACCCGACGGACCTCTGCAGCCCGAAATCGTCACCTTTTAATCTATACCATATGACCAGTTTTCTCGAACATGAAGTAAGAAACTACTTGACTAATTCAACTATAAACGCACAGCTCTTAAGGGTCAATAACGTACCACAACGGAGTAGAGCGGTGTCATTGAATGGCTTGGCCGCGGAAGTGTTCAAACAAAAGCGGTCGGCGCCGCAAAACTTAATTGTCAATTTGCTATAAAAAATTCGAATGTTAGAAGAACTCTGACAATATTTCAGTGACGCAGCGACGATTCCTCTGTGTAAAAAGAAAGGTACCCAGTAGTAAATGGACAACCGCTGCACAGCCTTTTTTGCACAGTGGGCACAAATATGACTTGCATTTCAGTCAATCAGCAATCGTTGACATTCTAAAAGTAACCGTTCCTGAAAAGCAGCGTGAGTTCGTGGTACTCTTCACTTAGTATTTACTGCAATACAAATCTGAAAGAACTCTTTTGGACTTAATCAACCACTTTCTTGAAGGCTTGTGGATCTTATAAAAGCGTTGAGATCAGTGAACAGAGGCTCACTGTGTATCATCTCAAAGAAGCTTGTTTAGGCACAAAAATTTGTCGACTTCTTCAAGGTGTTTTGCACTGTGGTTTTCCAATCAACGATATCTCGCTTTGGTTTTAATATACACGGTTTTAAACGCTTGCCTTTCATCAGCTTGCATTCAGGATTCTGGATGAAACACCGCATATTTTGACAAATGTTTGAGAGTAAGCCTGTTGTTATGTTGACCGCACACCATTCATAGGCGTGAGACTTGATACTGACATAAAGGTGCCGGTTACAAAACCTGCACGGCATTTGCTTGACTTGAGAAACGCTCCTGGAGCAATCTCCCCTTCACAAATGACACTTCGGTTGCAGTTTACCTGCCATCTTCGCTCACCTTTGGCACCAAACTTGGCCTTTATAAAGACAGTACTTGCCGGATTTTAATCGATTTCACTTATATTTTGCGTGCAAAACAACGCGTCAAGTGGAATGACGGAATTTTCAACTCTGGGATCCTTCGGATCACCGTTGTTGATGAATGCGGATCCAGCACCGCCGGTTATGTCGTACTCAACGAATAGCCGAAACTCAAGTCCTAAAACAATTTGTGCACTGCCAGCTGATGAACAGGGTTTGGAATACTTGATGCCCTAAATTCCGCCATTGGTACCCTCTTTGAGTAATCGTGAAAATGTCTAACTTACTCACTTGTCAACAGAGAACCTTGCTGTCAAAAAATCATCCTGGTTAATAGCCGCCAAATAAGGCACTAGAAGCTTTTAGACCCAATTAATTGTGAATCCGGAAACCAAGCGAGCCATTCGAAGGGATTTGATATCTTTAATACAATCATGACCACGAAGACGTTCACAAAAGTTAGACTGTTAAGGTAGCTGAATTTAACGAAGTACACTCATTTGCATACTAATTTGGCTTGGTGAGTGACTTATTTTGAACCCAGCTGAATCTCTCGTTTGTGATGTTTGCAGGCATTTCCGGCTAAATTTACGCAAATTGGAACAAGGTAGGATGTACAGTTTCGAATTACTGCCTACCTGACATTGTCAGTCTCAGAATGACAACGCCATTAAGCACAGGGCTACTAGAACACCACCAGGTTTTGCACCACCACCTTAGCGGGATGCTTATGGTAACAGCTGCATCGTGCTATACTGGGAAAGGTGCAATACCATTTTCGAAATGAAGTGAGGTAACAGACGACGATGGTACTGCGGTGCAAAACAGTTGACTGATGCCAGTGTACACCGTTATGTCACCACGTTTGCGCCGGCTAACTTATTGTAACAGACTCCACGTTCACCCGCCAATCTTATACCTGGGGGTTCATATGTTGCAAACGGCTTGCCCGCGGCAACCCATTAGTCTCTGTCCAAATTGTGTGTTTTCCCACTGTGTGCAGGCCTCCATAGATCTGACCGGGAAATCTACTTTTGATGTGAGCCATATATATATATATACTACATAACAGTAGTAGTATAGTAGTAGTACAATAGTGTGGATGCAGGGCTGGCCGGTGATCTCATTAGTTTTATCTTCATGCATTCCGTATGAAGCCAAAAGGCAGTAAGCTGGACATAGCAATGGTGCCGTTTGAAAATAGGAATGGTCAGCGTAAAATCATAGCAGTTCCGAAGAATTCTGCCAAGTGATCTTTGCACAATTTGGCAGCAGTCGAAACCGTGAACTTACTAAACAGATTTTAAAACAGATATATGGATACTTGCTTATATATATGATGGTATCACCTAACAGTTTAGGAACAATGGAATCACTGAAAATCCCTCGTTTGATGTTTCCATTCGGAAGTTGTAACAGTGTTTGAATATCACTGAAAGCACTTTAACTCCTGAACTTTTGCTCAATGAAATACTATTTATATTTTGTTGCCTTTGAAATTTGCCTTCAGACTCACAGAATTAGAAAGAAGGTTGTGCTTAATGCGTGTCATGCGCTACTGGCTGCCTTGGCCGTAACTTCTTTCATCCAAATAACCAGTCAGGAAACACACGTACGATTAGACATATTTTTGGGTGAATATTAGAGAGAAAACGAATAGAGGTTGACCCATCACTGACAGACACTAATTGGTATAAGATAGGATCTCAAAATCTCCACTTAATTCTATGTCAACCAACCCAAATGCAAGCAAAATGATGAAATTTCTTTCTACAATCCATTACCTTTGAAAAACCATATCGAAAGAATACGTCAGCACCTTATCAAGCTTCATCTAGATAATTATGTAAAGACTTAGATTGCACGGTGGGTGTATGTGTGAAGTGTTCCGTCACACATAGGGTCATTCAAAACCCACACCGCTCGTGATTTTATTGTGAGGTGTTTTGAGGATGGCACCAACTCCCTAGCTGGGCACATGATCAG